TGGCTCTCCGTCAGCAGGTCGGGATAGCACGGGCGGTTGAGATAGGCTTTGCTTTAGGTGGCGTAGTGCCTGCTCGCATTCCTCATTCCATTCGAAGGCCGCTTCTTTTCGAAGGAGTTTGAAGAAGGGGAGGGCGTGCTGAGCGGATCTCGCGACGAAGCGGGATAGCAACGTGAGCATGTCGTTCATGATTTGTATCGACTTCTTCGACGTTGGTGTTGGGAGGTCGGAGAACGCGCGTCATTTGTCGGGGTTGGCTTCGATTCCCCGTTCTGTTAGATAGAATCCAAGGAATTTTCCTGCCTTAACCCCGAACGTACATTTCTCGGGGTTGAACCTCATTTTACATTGTCTTGCTTGGGCAAAGACTGTCTTGAGGTGCGCTGCATGGTCGGTGTCTGCTCGGGACTTAACGATCATGTCGTCCATATATACCTCGAGCATGTCGCCGATCTGTTTGTTGAAAACTCTGTTCATCATGCGCTGGTAAGTTGCCCGGGCATTTTTCAGTCTGAAGGGCATTACGTTGTAGTAATAGTTGCCCGAGCTGGTCATGAATGCCGTGCAGTGTTTGTCGCCCAGGGCCATCGGGATTTGGTTATAGCCCGAGTAGGCGTCCATGAACGACAATGTTTTGTAGCCGGCCGAGTTGTCGACCAGCATGTCTATGTTAGGCAAAGGAAAAGCATCTTTCGGGCAAGCCCGGTTGAGATCGGTATAATCAACGCACATCCTCCATTTTCCATTATTCTTTTTCACGAGTACAACATTTGACAGCCAGGTGAAATACCGGGCTTCAGAAATAAAATTTGCCTCTAGGAGGTCTTTTACAGCTTTTTCAGCAGCCTCCGTTTTTTCTGGAGACTGCCTACGCCTATGTTGTACTACGGCCCTAGCGGCTGGATCAATGGCGAGGTGGTGACAGGCGACCTCAGGGTCGAGTCCGGGCATCTCCGCAGCGCTCCAAGCAAACAGATCAGCATTCTCGCGCAAACAGGCCTTGATTTGCTTCCTGGCCAAGTCGGGGAGGTCTTTGCCAATCTTCACTCCCTTGGTCGGATCTGTGCCGAGGGGGACGAGTTCAAAATCCCCGTCCGGTATTGGTCGGAGTGGGATTTGCTCGCCGCTGGATGGCTCGTCCTGGTCGAAGCGGGTGTCCAGAGCTATGGAATCGACTTTTGGTGGAGCTTTCTGGACTTCTTCCTCGGGGGATGCTTTCCTGTCGGGCTCCTGTCTTGTCCTTTTGGCGGGTCTGGTCCCTATGTCGACAGTATCACGCCCCTTAGAAGCGGCGTTGAAGCACCTGCGGGCAGCGGCTAGGTCTCCTTGGATAGTAGCTACCCGTGCCCTCTTGGTGTAGAACTTCATCTTCAGGTGGACGGTCGAGGGTACCCTCGTCAGCTCTGCCAGTGTCGGTCTCCCCAAGATGCAGTTGTATAGAGACAGGCAGTCGATGACTAGGAAGCGTACTTTGACTTGTCTTGTAGCCGTCCCTTCCCCGAACGTAACCAGAAGCTCGACATATCCCCAGGGTTTGGAGGTCGAGCCGTTGAAACCTTGTAAGTCCGAACCCACATATGGCGAAAGATGTGAGTCGTCCAGTTGAAGGGTTCGGAACAGTTGGCTGTACATGACGTCGACGAAACTCCCTTCGTCGACCAGGATGCGATGTACATCAAAATTGGCCATTCTTGCCCTTATCAGCAAGGGGATGACCGCGTTCAGGGCTCCGTCGGGGAGTTCTTCCAGGTAGAAGGTGATGGGCTCTGACCTGCCCTTCACCCTTTCGAACGTCACTGTTTGCGGGGGAGCCGCGTCGACCAGTTCGTCCAGCTTCCTCTTGGCTGAATTGATGGTCAAGTCATTGAAACCGCCGCCGTTGATGACCAGGGCGGAGGGGAAGTATTCCCACCTGCTGTGCGTTGTAAGTGGCTCTTGCAGGTGCTCGGGGAAGTCGAAATCCTCGGGCCTGGTCACGGAGAAGGCAGTTTGGATGGGCACCGACTCGTCATATGGTCGGGCGTCTTCTTCTGGCTCCCTGGTTTCTTGGGCGTCACGACTGGGAGCGTCGCTTCGCCGGTACTGCGCGAGCCTCCCTCCCTTGATGAGGGTTTCAATGGCGTCCTTGAGGTGGACGCAATCCTCAGTCAGGTGACCATGGCTCCTATGGTACTGACAATATTTGTTTTTGTCTGCTCCGGGCTTAGCGGGAGCAGGCCGGGGACGTTTGACACCGCCGTCCTTGAAATCAGTGCTGGCACACTCCGCCAGAATGCGCTCGCAGGAAGCCGCGAGCGGAGTGTACTCGGTGAAACGCCCCGAAGGTCCTCTTTGTTCCCGGACTTCCCGGGGTCTGTCTTCCTTTCTTTTCTCCCCGATTCGTCGAGGAGGAGCCTCTTGCCGCGAGCTGCTGTTGGGACCACGAGTCCTGGAATCTCGGGCTTTGTTGGCCGCCTCCCTCTCCTCGTAGTCCATGTATGCTCGGGCCTTTTCGAGGAGGGCATCGAATGTCCGAGGTGGCTCGATACCCACGGCCTTTCTGAATTCCGTGCCGGGGAGGAGCCCTCTCTCCAGCAAGTATCTTTTCATATGGTCCGCACAGGGGACCTGTATTGCTTCCCGGTTGAAGCGGTTGATGAATTCCCTCAAGGTTTCATCCTGTCTTTGGATGATGGCCTCGAGGGCCGCCTCGGTCTTCGGATGGCGCCGAGAAGCTGTGAAGGAACTGATGAACTGGTTCTTCAGGTTCCTCCACGAGGTGATTGAGCCCGGGGCGAGTCCTTTGTACCAGTCCATTGTCGCCTTCCTGAGAGTCGTGGGAAATAGACGGCACTTGATGGGACCCCCGACATTGTGATAATGAAGCATAGCCTCGCACCCGTCTATGTGGTCGACCGGGTCCGCGACTCCATCGTACTCCTTCAAGTGAGGGGGCTTCTCCATGCCCGGGGGGATGGGTGCCTCCATAATAGCCTGTGACAGGGGACCGCGGGGGTCGTCCTCGTCGCTTCTCTCCGGAGACAGAGATGGGGACCTGTAATATTGTCTGGCACGACGGTCCAGATCGTGCTGAGTTTCTCTCGAGCGGGATGCTCGGTTGTTGAATTTCACACGCCCATCTCCGGAGTGCCTTCTTTCTAGTATCGCCGGGTCGCGACTGGGTTCTCCGGCTTGAATGATGGGCTGCCTCTCCAGATAAGGCCGTTTCTGTTTTGGCCGGGGAGATGGGCTTCGAGAGGTCTCCCTGTAATGTCTCCGCGGGGGAGAAGGGTGTCGAGCTTCAGTCACTCGAGGAGGGGGAGTATGTGGCCTCCGATGCCTCCTCGGGGGTCTTCGCTCGTCTTCAAGCGCCTTTAGTCTCTCTCCTTGGGCGAAGATGAGATAGTTCGTTTGATTAATTGCTGCGAACAACGCTTGTGTTGTGGCGTCCGCCCCGGAGGGGACGGGGACTTCCTTGAACCGGGCGGCTCTGTAGTGCGCGAGGGCCGCCTGGTCGTCCTCGAGTGGTGGTGGGAGCGAGGAGGATGATGCAGTAGCTCCGTCCCTGTAGGAGGAAGTTCCGGGGGCGGTTGTTGCAGGAATGGTGTTGTGGCCGGGATTGCCGGCGTTATCAAGATGTCCGTTTTTGTCCGCGGTGCCGTTATTAGTGTCGACGACGCGGACGTTCTGCTCATCGCGAGCTTGATCAGCCATGACCGGTAGTTGAATTTGAGCTTTGGTCTTTGAGTTTGCAAGACGAGGAAGCTAGTTTCCCACATACGGCGCCACTGATCTAACCTGATCAGACTTGGACCGTCACGGCTGGCTCCGAGCTGAAGTTTTGAACGAGGTGGGGGGGGGGGGGTACCTGCAAGATACTCCGATGCTGAAGTGAGTAAGAGCACGAGCAGGCAATAGTAAGAGTATGGGTAGAATGATGAATACCTGACCCTCTGGGAGCAGAGGGTATTTATAGCCCCCAGCGCTGGGCCAAGGTCCCTTCATTGGGCCGGGCAGGTTTGGCCCAATGAAGGAACTGCCAGGTTCTACGTGTGTAGTGGAGACCCGCACGTGGTCTCCTTCTTGGATGTGCTGCGTGAAGTGCGGACGGACGAGGACGCGGTCTTTTCGGGACCCAGGTGAGGGTGCAGTGGACTGAGTCTGCCCTAGGAGGGGTGCTCGAGCTGAGGTCGAGCTGGACAGTAGGAGGTCGAGCAAGTAGCCCCAGGGAACACGCCGGGCACGACTGTGATCCTTTGGTCGGCGTGACCCCCAACAAATCTGTTTGGATTGGGCCTTATCAATGCTATTGGGTCAGTCGGGCCCAGTCCAGAATATTACCCTTAATCGTACTATAGTAAATAAAATATGAAAAATTGTTTGCTTCCTTTGAAATTTCAACAGCGGAATGGTTGTTGGAGCAGTGGGGCCACACAGTAGTTTCCAAAAACCATTGGCAATAAGTAAACGTTTGTTAAAAGTCTCTGAACTTTGTGTTTAAAAATAAAAACAGAGAATATTATTATCGTTTGAGACGTTAATTAGAAAGCAAGCAAGTCCAAACGGCGTTCAACTGTACTCCAACAAAATCCAACTAAAAGCAACCTTCCTTTCATGTGACTGTGGGTCCCATCTCTATTTTGCACATCAAAATTTCCAAAAAAAATGTTTATTGGCTTTCAAAAAAATGTTTATTTTTCAACAAGAAGTAATGTTCCAGGTTGTTTCCAACCGCGTATTGCAAATACGTGTCCTTAACGAGTTGGCACTTTAAATTGAAACATTAAACTCACAAAAACTATGCTGTCTCTTTCTCACATCACGCTACGCGTCCTAAATTCTCAATATATCAATCATTCTATCTATCCATTTCACATATAAAAGAGAACCATCAATTTCCATACATCATCAACATTCAGCATCTTCAAAAAGAGTTTCTACATCACTCACTCGATATATAGCTACTATACACTCTTCCTCACATTGTATTTCACCTACATAAAGCTAGAGACAACAATATCATGTCTTTGAAGAATCGTAATGTTGGTCGTAGGGCATGGAACATCCTGCGGCTTTCATTATTGTGGGCAAGAAAAAGTGCTGTGTTTAGGCGCAAGCTAGCGACGGAGCTGCGTCTTGTGCCAAAGTATTTGAAGCGTCTCGGACACGCAAACACGCCTGATAATCAAATTCACTACTTTGAGCGTGAACTCTCCTTCGATGAGACACCTATGTTCGATGTTAAGATGTATCGTCCGTCATCCATGCGTTTTCATATTCCGTGTATAAATTCACGTGTTGATTTTGAGTATGATTTTAATGATGATGACATTGTTGAATATGACAATGGGAGAAATAGTGATATCGTTGATGCAGGAGATTATGGGGTTGAAGGGTGTCAAGAAATGGGTTTTAGAGAACAAGTGCAAGAAGGTGGTGTACAAGGAATAGACAAACGTGCTGATGAGTTCATTGCTAAATTCCATCAGCAAATGAGACTTCAGCGACAGATTTCTCTTCTACAATACAACAAGGAAACACCCAGCAGAGACACGAATTGAAATATTCTTTTTATACACGCAAATTTACTTATTTTTATTTTCTGCAATCACCTTCAATTTTCCTTTTTAATTTTATTTTTGATGCTATGGTCGATAGGACTTTTTAGTCCAAAATATGAGAGGAGACAGTACAGCGGGATTTTGTTACCACTTAATTTTTAATTTAAAAGAATATGTTACTACAGTTACTTGTTTGCGTCCCTTTTTCTTTTCTTTTCCTTTGAACGCTGTCCGTATCCCTTAATAACACGGAATCCCCCGTGCATTGTCAAAAATGCTAATGATTAGAAGAGGAAATCCATAAAAACTCAGCTTGTAAGTAGTCGTATTATACTGTGAACGATAGGATAGTATATAAAATTGACTCAATAATGATGATGATGATGATGAAATTAACAACTGAACCAATACTAAAAGTGAATTTTTTATCCCATACTACGTATTTAAAAAGATCCTACGAAATTCATTTTTTATATTTGTTCTATTTTACGATTAATTTTATTTCAAAAATACATTTTTAGAATGTTATTGGAAATGTATTTCTGTGAAGACATTAAAATTGAAAGACTATGTTTACTAGAGTTGAAAATTTAGACTATTCAGTCCTCTTCAGATCGGACTGTAACGGATTCGAGTCTTTGGCAGGTCAGGCTTAAAAGTCCGTAATTTAAACAGGTTAAAATTAAATTGTCCAAACTCGGCCCTTCATGAATTTCGGTTAATCAGACCGGTTAGGATTATATTTAATATTAATTTTTAAAATAAAAAATAAAAAAATTTAATATACCGTATAGTAAAAAATAAAATATATATGAATATTGAGTATAAAAATAATATATTTCAATTAGGTATATAAAATCTAAGATAAATCATTACATTAATATACTATTTTAATAAAATAATTAAGATTCAAGTGTACAGAACTACTCACTCTATTTGATTTAAAAATTAAACTTCAACAAAATTAATTTATACATAATAATTTACTAATTATAAAAGAGTTAACATTCATATCAATGATATTCAATATTTAAAATAAGTTAATGGATGTTGTATCTATATAAATTAATTCTTTAATTGAGATTGGTGTAAAAGGTTAATTATTATTATAGGGTATTTAAAAAAATAAGGGCATTATTAGTAGAGTATGTTAGAATTTATGTATAAAAAATGTTAAATAAAATAAGTGGGCTACCCGCAACTCGGTCGGGCTAGTCCAATTAGACTTCGGGCTTTTAACGGGCCGAGCTTAAAAGGCCGAATCATAAACAGGCTCAAATTTTTATGTTAAAGCCCGGAATTTTTTACGGGCTTTCAGGTTAGCCCGGTTAGTACGACCCATTTAGCCGGCTCTACTATTTACAATTAAAATATAGAAGGGAGGACCTTGGTAGTGGTAGAGTCTCAATTGAACATGTAATTGGTACTCCCCCCGTCTCAATATAATAGTCGTTTAAGATTGTTATACGGAGATTAAGAAAAATAGAGATTGACTCAATAAAAGTAATATTTTTATAAAATTATCATTTATTATTGGTTGTAGTACTTTGTCATATTTGGAAAGAGTGTATATACGGGGTAAAACTGATAAAAGTTAATTATAATTGCATTGGAAAAATAAAGAGACTATTATTTTGAGATAATTTTTTGAGATTACAAAAATAATTATTTTGAGCCAGAGAGAGTACATGATTAATTTTAGAGTATTACTTAAAGGATAAAAACCGAAGAAATATTGGTCAACCCAAAATCATTTATCACCTTCATATATTTGTTAGCTGGAAATTTCGATTGTAGAACATAGAAGATCAAAATGCAAAGACTAAGGTATTTTTGAAAGAGTTGTCTTGCGGAGACTCCGTCTGATTATTTCTAAGTGAACAGTCAAAGATCAAGCGCATAAAGAAGCCTTTGTGTTGAAGAGTTCGAAGTATTTGAAGTTTAAATTTGAATAAGCATGTTGAGTTTTTTGGCGCTCTCCGCGAATAGAAGGGTTTGAAATTCAAATCGTTTGATCTTATCCAGAAGACACATGGGGTCTAATAGTTTGAAGAATTTGCATGTCACGAACGTGGCATCTAGATGTAGAAAGACCGTTAGGATCAAATTAGTATATATAGGATTATTAGTGATAGGATTCAGTGTTTTCATTCGTTTGTACAAAATCACACATAAACTGAAAGTATCTACGTATTGAGAAAATAGTCATATGAGAAATGTACATGTAAACACCATCATTTACTTTAATACAATTTATCATTCCAGAAATTTACCTTTTCTAGCAATTTACTTTCAGTTGCTTTTATTGCATTCCCTTTACAAGTTTTGTAAGTTTTACTTTAGAAAGTTATTTAAATTAAAACCAACATTTTAAAAAAAAAACTATGAATGTTATTGAAAGTATTCTTTGCTTCCAAGAACAAAGTTTAAATAAGAACACATGTCCTAGGATCAATCTAGTCGATCCTACGAGTAACTAAGAACTTTTTTCGTTGTTTTTAGAAGACTAGCGCTTATTTATCATTTTTCACGGTAAACAAATTGGCACGCCCAGTGGGACATGTGTTCAATTAAAAAATGTTTTTCTTTTGTTCTTGTGAAAAGTTTTAGAAAATATTCATCTTTTACTTGTATTATTCTTCGTCACATGAGACTTAGAAGTGGTAAATTAGCCACAGAAAACAAGGAAATACCTAAAAGAAAATACGTTAGAAAAATGGCAAACCAAAGTCAACCAAGTAACCAAAATTCTCCTAACAATGATGAAGTACCACCCCCGGTCACTTCGACAGGGGGAGCAACGGTTTCTGTGCCTTTTTCAGAGGCTATACCATCTTAAATGTGTACCACACCAATGCATTCGAGCGCTCATAGTAGCCCTATTTTGACTTATATAGGACCACAGGGTCCAACCGGGACCCCCCCTCCAGGAGGAAATGCTTTCCATAGGCCTCAAGGGCCTCCTGGCTTTTCTATGCCTCAAAAATGGTCGCGAAAGGCCTTATGGCATACCATCATCATTTATGGCAGGTTTGTATAATTCCACTTCAACGTTTCAGATCCTATAATAAACGTCACTTCGCCATTACAAGGTTCTGGATCTACTGTTAATAATATGGGTCGAACTATTTAACCCCATGAAGAGGGATTTTCTTTCCAAATGACAAACTTGACATATCACTCTACAAAAATAATTAGGCAGCAAGTGGACGAAAGTAATCATGAAATGGTCCAAATGCTTGCACAAACCATGAGTATAATTTTTAACCCTTTAATTAAAAACACCACTCAAGTGAACCAATAAATGGCATCGCAAATGACGCGCATCACTGAGTTCTTTGGTGTGCCTCAACCCCCATCACATCCTCAGAGGGGATGGGTTAGGGAAAATCAAGGGGTAACCTTCGAAGAAAACCCAACGATTAACCAAGTTCAACAAAATCAAAGAAATCCACCTCGGGAAAATATGGTAAATCGGGGAGGGGCAGTCGAAATACCTAGAGTCGAACCTCCTAGACAGGAACAACAAATCCCAAGGGAGGCGAAACCCAAGGTTATAATGGTGAATAGGAATCAAAATGTTGATGAAGTCATATATCAAGTTCGACAAGATAATATGGTAGTAGAAAATAATCTGGTAGCCATGGTCGAAAGGATTATGGTTCGAAATGGTATGAATGATGGCCTTCACATACCTAGTGTTGTACCCCAAAATTTTCCCTCCCATAATCTTCAAAGTTTTGACAAGAATCATCCACAATTGGTTCAAGTTTACTCAAGGACTACACAATCAACCATCCTCCTGAAGCCAGTCAAACTAGGGTTTTGGGTCTCACAAGGAAGCTGAAGTTTTCAAGAGCTCAATCAAGTCTCCCATGCTCATACACATTGTCAAGCACCTCCATGTCAAGTTTCAAGGCTCACAAGGTCAAGTTGCACAGTCAAAAACCCTAATTGCCCAACAGTCAACTGTAGGGGCAAAATGGTCATTTGGCAGTCAAAAGTCAAAAATTTTGGTCAACATATTATTTTGAAGCCACAAACATCATTTGATCAATGCTTGATCATGATTCTCAAAAGTATGGCTCAAAAAGTCTCAAGATGCAAAAGTTTCTATTCTTGGACAGCTGAAAAGTCAACTGTAACTTGACCAAGGCATAACTTTTTCATGGTTCATCAGAAAAATCCCATCCAATGCTCATATTGAAGGGGAAGACATTTCCTATAACTCATCTTCACACTCCAAGTCCAAGAAATGCTCTCACAAAAAGTTATTAATTTCAACATTATAGGTCATTTTCAAAAGTCAACAAAAAGGGACTTTAAGTCAAAGACCATAACTTGAGATTGGTAAATCAAAATGACATGGGACCAAATACATTGGTTAGAGGACTTCAAGACCTTTCCAAAATGTCCAAGAACATGATCAAAGCTTAAAAATTGAGCAAGATATGCATTGGAGAAGTTGGGAGATTTTTGTGAAATGGCCAAAATCATTTATCCTTGAAATTTCTTTTTCGACAAAAGGGGCCCACTTTTTCCACTTGAATTAACTTGGCCATACTTCCCACGTGTCCCACCTTTTATTTCAAAATTTTAAATTAATTTTTTCATTTTTAATTGATTTTATTGGATTTAATTAATTTTAAATCTTTTAAAATCAAAAGAAAATCAAGAAGTTTAATAAAAGGGGATATTTGGTCTTAACTAGCTCTGAATTATCGTTATGCCACATCCCAATTTCGTTTCAAAGCCAAATGTAGCAAGAATTCAAAAAATGGTTCAAAAATGGAAGTTTGGTTATGGAGGTTTATGGAGAATCTTGAACTTGAATGCTCTGCATTATGAGGCCATAATTCCTCTCAATACATGTTACATAATACCTATGCAAGTGATCAGAAGGGAGGGAGAGACCTAAACCACGCTGCAACCTCAGAATCAAGTTTTCATTTTTCACCAAAAGTCTCAAAACTGAAAACAGAGATAGAACTCCTTTCAAA